TTCTTTTCATTTGTCTCCCAAGCTGGGTGCTTGTGGTCGGGTTCCCGGCTGGCTTGTCTCCCACTTCCTTTCATTTGTCTCTCACTTCTTTTCATTTGTCTCCCAGGCTGGGTGCTTGTGTGCAGGTTCCTGGCTGGCTTGTCTCCAACTTCCTTTCATTTGTCTCCCACTTCTTTACAGAATGGTCGCCTTGGTGCTGGATGGTCTGGTCGGGTTCCCGGCCGGCTTGTCTCCCACTTCCTTTCATTTGTCTCCCAGTTCTTTTCATTTGTCTCCCAGGCTGGGTGCTTGTGGTCGGGTTCCCGGCTGGCTTGTCTCCCATTTCTTTTCATTTGTCTCCCAGTTCTTTTCATTTGTCTCCCAGGCGGGGTGCTTGTGGTTTCACTTGTCTCCCAGTTCTTTTCATTTGTCTCCCACGCTTTTGGTCGGGCTGGATGGTCTGGTCGGATTCCCGGCCGGCTTGTCTCCCACTTCCTTTCATTTGTCTCCCAGTTCTTTTCATTTGTCCCAGGTCGGGTTCCCGGCTGGCTTGTCTCCCACTTCCTTTCATTCCCCAATAGCCATGCTATGGAGTCTTGCAAAACTAATAGGCGGACGGGCGCCGTCAGGTCACAGTCAGTGGGCGGATGGTGTCCCGGTCATGTTTTGATGGCGTCCGGGTCATGTGATGCTGGTGTCCCGGTGTCCCGATCATGTTTTGATTGTGACCCAATCATGTTGTGATGGTGTCCCGGTCCTGTTTTGATGGTGTCCCGGTCATGTTTTGATGGTGTCCCGGTCACGGTCATGTTTTGAAGGTGTCCCGGTCATGTTGTGATGGTGTCCCGGTCATGTTGTGATGGTGTCCCGGGCATGTTTTGATGGTGTCCCGGTCGTGTTGTGACGGTGTCCCGGTCATGTTGTAATGGTGTCCCGATCATGTGATGGTGGCGCGGTGATGTTGTGATGGTGTCCCGATCATGTTGTGACGGTGTCCCGGTCATGTTTTGATGGTGTCCCGATCATGTGATGGTGGCGCGGCCATGTTGTGATGGTGTCCCGATCATGTTTTGACTGTGTCCCAGTCATGTGTGTCCCGGTCCTGTTTTGATGGTGTCCCGGTCATGTTTTGATGGTGTCCCGGTCATGTTGTGATGGTGTCCAAGGAAGAGATGGTCGATGTTTTGAAAACAGCAGCTGTTTCCAGATTTTTTTTTTTTTGTCCCGGTTTGTATCTTGCTATTGGGGTCTCCAGCTGGGCTAATTTGTTTCCCACTTCTTTTCACTTGTCTCCCAGTTCTTTTCATTTGTCTCCCAGGCTGGGTGCTTCTGGTCGGGTTCCCGGCTGGCTTGTCTCCCACTTCCTTTTATTTGTCTCCTCTTCTTCCCAGCTCTGGACTGCTGTGTCCGCCTCTGCCTTGCAATCCTTTACATTTGTCTCCCAGCTCTGGGCTGCTGTGTCCGCCTCTCCCTTGCAATCCTTAATTTTACATGTGTCTCCCAGCTCTGACTGCTGTGTCCGCCTCTGCCTTGCAATCCTTTACATGTGTCCTCGCAAGCCTTTGCATTTGTCTCCATCTCGCTTGCACATTTGTCTCCCTGTGTCTACATTTGTCTCCCAGCTCTGGACTGCTGTGGCCGCCTCTGCCTTGCAATCCTTTGTCTCCCAGCTCTGGACGTCGCAGGCTCTAGTTGCAGAGTGTTCCGATTCGAAAAACACAAACTGTTTGGGGTCTACGGTGGTGTAATTCATCGTTGCACGAATGGGTCGGATGGGGCGCCGCACGGGGGGTTTCTTGCTGGCTTGTAGGTCTTTTCTCTTGACCGTCTTGAGCATCTTCAACCTCTAGTGCTTGGCTTAATTATGATCGAGATTTGAAAAGGTTCCAAAAGCCTCTGCTGTTCGGACATGCGGTTCATTCATGACTCACGTTGTGGCAAGCATTCCGTCTTCCATGTTCACGTGCTGGTTGGTCGAGGTTTGGCTGCCGTGGATGAGAATGTCGCTCCCCAAGTCATTGGCAAGGGTGTTGGTAGTATGTGTTGGTGGCCATTCCTGGCAGCTTTGTGAAAAAATTTCGCATCACCCAAGAGCTGTTACATCAGTGGGCCTGCCCCAAGGTGCATGCGGCGTCGGCGGACGGCTTGCACATGGCCCCCCCCGCCAATCAGCTGATTGCTAGAAGCAGCGGAAAAACGTGCCTTTTTTGATCCTCCTGCCTGTGTCCTCTACAGAATGCTACTGATATAAGGCATTTTTCAATAGAGAACACTTGTCTTACATTCCCAGGTTTGGCATGGATACATTTCGGAGCTTCTGAAAGATGCTGATTTGGATTTTGATTCTGTAGCGAGACATGGTCACTGGCAGCCTGCGCGAAATGGCCGCGTTCGAAGATTGGCTCGAACAGCGGGAGGCACCGATGGGACGCCCCTGGGCGTCAGGCTGACGCGTCGCCCCCCTTTCGATCCATCGGCCCGAATGGTGGGCCCACGGCAGGCAGCTGTTCTTTGTGGACCCAGGTGAGGGATGGGATGGGTTGCTGCAACAAGTTGTTCCCCAGGTCACGCTCCAAGAAGACAGGTCTCACGTACACGCATTCAAGACAGCCTTCAAGAGCCCATATGTTGCATGATCGTTCACTCATTTTCCACGATGCGTGACCTCGCCTCTCACGGCTTCCGTTCTTCCCAAAGGGGGCCTTGTTTCACCCAGTTCGAGCCCTCCCTGTGGGATCCACCTGGATCCGTGGAACTTCGACCTCGGTGTTCGATTCCAGGTGTTTTCAAGCTTTCTTCGAAGAGGTTGATGAAGAAGAAGGCCTGAAGCAGGCGAGGCGACTCAAGCAGTTTCCTGCAAGCATCGAACTTGCACTTCGACCGCACCACCGAATGGCTGGTCACCAGACGACGTGACCAGCCCTTCGACCGTCGGTTTTTTTCGACCAGGTGAGGGACGGCGAAGGTGCCTACAAGCAGGTCGTCCGATATCACCATGTGGGTGCTGGTCGGGGAGATTTCGAGCCCGTGACGCCCCAGCCAGCCACACAGACACAGCTCATGTGGGTGCCCTTGGGCATCTTGCTGTTGTTCTTCGTCCTCAGCGCAGCTCGGCTAGGATGGGCCACTGGAGGATGCGTTTTGTTTGTTTTGTTGTCCTTCTCTCCCCAAACCCCAGAAGCTTGGGGGTCGAAGCAAGTTCCGGAGCAAGTTCCGGTTGGGCAGCAGGTGTTGCGGCAGGTTCCGGAGGAGGAGCTTGGTGCTGTCAGGTCACGCCGGTAGTATTCATGCGTGGTGTCGCGCTGACATCATGTCAGGCTGACGCACTGGCATGGGTCACGCTGACATGCTGACATGTTGTCACACTGAGAGGGTGCAGTCGGGTCATGTTGGCGTGCTCACCTGCAGGCCAGACTCCTTTCGGGGGTCCGGAGCAGGTTTGCTAGCTCTTGTAGCGGCGTTGTCGTGCTTGCACATATGCTATGCCTGCGGCACGTTGAAAAGGTTCACACTTCTCAAGTTCTGCCTTTGTTTGGCAAAGGCACGACTCACGACACTTTGTTGGTGATTTCGATGGCCATGGCCATTGCCCGGATTTGGATGCCCAGGTGTTGGTGACTGTTCGGCGTTTTGGGGGAACTTCTTAGCTTTTGGTTAGTGGAATCCTGCACTACCTACGTTGGGGGGAGGGGCTTCCGGATCTCATTCTACGTCCCACCACGTCAGGTGCCTTTGCTCTTCCTTTGGGACGCTTATCATCACAAGGCCCGAACCGTTCCGGCCCCGTGCTTCCGGTTTCAGTCTTTTTAGGCACTGGGTCGGTCCAAAGCGAAGGGGCCGAGACATGAGCTTTCGGATGAAAGACCAGCGGCAGTGCCGACGGTGTTCCACGCTCGAATGATGTACACCCCCTGTGCCTCTACAAGATTCTACAAGCCCGTGGTTTTTCAAGGCCGATGTTAAGTCTTCAGTGGGGGGGCGTATGTACAGACTGCATAAGACGGAAATAATCACACCACTTAGATATACACGTGCACATCTACAAATAAGTAACTCCAGAGATGTGAGGTGCAGGGATCAGATGGAACATCACCCCCCATCCAAGTGTTCACCCACTCTTCCACCTCCGAGTCATCGCCGACCTCGCCCACTCGTCCTTTTGTCACCAGGGGGAGGACCCACTGACACTTCCAGATTGCAGCTTCGACCATCCGCGGGGCTCTCGTGGGGATGCTTACTGCTGCCACCACTATGGCCGCTGTCAAGGACTCCGGGCCGGGGGGATGAGATGAGAAGACGCTCCGAGCTTCCGTGAGCCGAACGACGCTAACGACGACGACCGTCGAATTCGGCAGATGATGTCGGATTGGATGCAGGATCTTTCTTGATGCCCCGCATCCTGATCAAGAAAAAGCCATTCAATAAAAGCTGCAGGTTCCATGCGCTCTTGTCCCTCACAGTTTTGAACATCCTTCTATGTCAGGCCATTTGAAACCCCTCAGCTGTGTGCTCACCAGACGGTCTCTTTTTGCTGGTCTGGGTGGCTTCGGCGAACTTCCGTAAGCTCCGCCGGGCACCGCGGGCGGAGCTTCCTCCCTTCTGCCAGGTGGCACCGCGTTCGAGGATCCGTATGGCTATGGCGGCGATGGCGAGCACTTTGTCGCTTGGGCAGCTGGGTCCCTCCCGCCCGGGGCAGCCGCGGGGCGTCGGTCTTTTTGTTCTTTTTGGCATCCCGTTTTCGCATGGAGGAACTGCTGCAACGTCGGTGAAAGGATGTTGGTGGGTGGGTGGGTGTTGCCTGGAGGCCTTTTTGGTTTGGAAGAGACTGCCATTAGGACTGCGATGCCGGCTATGAAGATTGGCAGAGTGGATGGTCCCCCGCCAAGACACAGTGGTGTTGCCGAAAAGAAGGACGAGGATGCATGCAATTTCAATGCGAAGGGGAGGCGGGGCATTTTTGACTCCAAATATTTGTGTGAAAGGCAGCCGTCTTTCATAGTCTTCCCGTCTGTAACCAGACACAGAGACGGGGAACTCCACAAGTGCTTGCTTTGCTTCTTTTTTTGGGGGGGGCCTTTTGTATCCTTTTGTTGCAATGGAGGCGCAGCAGTGGAGCCCTGAAGAGAGTGACTGGCTGCTCAGCTGAGCAATCTGACGGGAGTTTCGTGCCGAACCTGTTCCAAACCACTCGCGGGGGGCACCGCTGCGGGGGCACGTGTGCGTGAACGTCGCGTAAACGTCGGCTGTCCAGGTGCTGTGCAAATCGGCAGCAGTGCCAGAGCTCCGACTCAGGGGCCTGTGACACCATGTGCACCACAAGTAGCGGTGGGAAGAGTATCACTTCTTCGTGTATGGATCGAATCCGCTGGGCTGAGCGGCATTTCTATTCTGGCCAGGACGGCCAACTCAGGGGCCAACAGGTCTTTTCTTTTGGGTCTTCTTTCCCTATAGAAGTCCAAGAGCAATCTTTTGGCACCAGTATAGTGTATATATGGAGTAAAGGAAGTTCCTTTTTGGGTCACCTACAGACCATTTCCGAAACATTCTTGGACTCCTAGGGGTTTGCTTGTGGCCTTTGTTTGCTCTTGATGTGTCTTGCCGATCATTGTGGCTTACTCCTGCTCCCTTCGGCAGGAGGATTCCTGCTCCTTGGCCTACAGCAGAGTTCGAGTGGATTGCGATGTGTGCCGCACATGCTCCATTGAGGACCCAGACGAATGTTTTCGGGGAGGAGAGTTGGCGAATTAACAGCATGAACATCATGAACCTACAGGGTCAAGGAGTAGAGACATGGCCACTTAGTCGCTAGGCCTCATCCAGGCCGATGACCAGATGGCTGGTGGTCCAATTCCAGTTGATGCTTTCTGTGAACACTTCTTTTCAGACCACCAGATGTTGAGTCAGACCAGGAGGCAGGCTGCGCGCAGCAACCGCAGGCGCCGGGTATGGGTTCATGTTCCGGTCGCAGGCGTGCCCTCTGGTGGTCTGGTCTGCCGTGACTGGAAATAAGCCCAGCAAATGAGTGGGGGAGCCTGAATAACATGAGTACCCCCAGAACTTGTTGCAATTAGTGTTGCAAGAAGATGCAATAAGTAGGAATGGCAGTTGCAGTGCGAACCTCATCCAAAAAACAAGATGCTCGGCAAGCAATACGCTTGTTATTCCGAATCCCCGGAAACTATTCAGAGGTTGGGAACACTCTCATACCTTTTTCCCTCTTTTCTACCCTGTCCGTAGACCTCGTGATTCCACATGACCAAGGCATTCAAACAATGTCACCACCGCCCTGACCAGGTGCCCCGGCTCCTGGACGACTGCGAAGGGACCGCGGTCGACCGCGCTGGCTGGTCAGCTGAGAAGAAGGACGGAGCACCGGCCATTCGACAGGTCGTTCGACAGGAGTTTTGGGGGCCGATTCTTTGCAGAGCCAGATTTGAGTCTTGAGGTCCCAAAGTTGATTATAGAGAGAGAGAGGGCTTCAGAAGACTGTTTGACGGTCACTGTCGTTGAAAGGGGCGTTTTCCCTGCCATCTCCCTTTTCTTGATTTCGACTTCAAGCAACATCAAGGGCGTGAACACACTCAAACCCGAAGACATGCCGTCCGCACTCGTTTGGGGTCCCCCCGCTCGCTGCCAGGAGTTCTGCTGTCGTCAATGGGGCACCTGCGAGCAGAGTGACGCCGAGGACGGGCCGTCCCGCGACCTGCCGGACGGCCCGACTGGCTCGAGGACGCCACTGGCGCAGCTGGCGTGAGGCCGGGCAAACCGCCGGGAGGCGGTGGGTTCCGACGCCGGCGCCGGGGCGGGCGCGGCCGTGAGGGCGGACGACTGGCGGCTTAGCCGGGGTCGTTTCACCAGGAGTCTTGTGTCACAAGCACATGAAACCAGCATGTCTACCAATGAAACTGCGTTGGACACACCAAAAGAGAACTTTCAAGCATCCCGAATCCAGATGCATTTCACATGCTTCTGGCATGACCTTGCAGCAGAGTTGGCTGATGCAATTCGAATTTTGCGAGACATCTCGGCTCACAAGTTGAGCAGTGCAGAGATCTGTGCTCACTCGGCCATGGTTGAGGACCAGGGCGAAGCGGTGTGAAGATGTTCACAGATCTTCAAAAAGTTGTCCTTTTTTTCTTCACATCTGTTGATTCTGTTGCATTACGACTACATTCCCTTAGTTGCCTCATCATCAGTACTTTAGACAGAGCACAGTGCCAGTTTGAAGAGGTACATTCGTAGGGCGAGCGCCCGGTGGGTGGATTTCGGTCTCCCGGCAGAGGCGTCACGCGCGCGGTTTTTGACGCGGGTGACGATCTTCCAGCTGGCAGGAGGAAGACAAGCGCGTGGTGGTGCGAGAAACCAGCTATGAATCGCAATACCAAGATCCGTGCAGCAAGATGTCTTGCACCAGGTTTTGCTTTGAGTTTCCAGCTCAAGGACAGGGCATACAGAGAGATAGAGAGGGAAGAACACACGGTTGCACCTACTATTCCTTTGCACAGAACGCTTGCAAATCGAAATGCCTTGTATGAAAACAGAAGGGATGCACCACGCTACCACTGAATACCAAAGCGTCTGCCAAAGATGACACACAAACATCATGAAACGTCATGACACTTTGGGTTCGATTCTGGCAAACAAAGGATAACAACAGAGACACATTGGGACACCATGTTTGGGAAAAAACCTTGGATTCCTGGGCATTTTCTGATGTGAATGTCACATGCCCATTTCAATCCTCACCTCCCCTTCAGGTGCGCCACGCTGGACCTACATGGGCCAAGGGCAAGGGGCCTACGTCCAGGTCTCGGATGTGCAATATGTGGGCGAAGGCGACGCGGGTGGATCTCCATACGGCGGACAGCGGCAACGAGCCAAAACCGAGTCTGCACCCCAAAAGGGGCCACAAAAAAAAACCGCGGGCCACTGGCAAACTGGACCAGGTGGAAAAGCAATTATAATGGTATAGTATATAATAGTAAAACCGTATATATATATATATATGTACACACACATATATATAAATATATCACCACCTGTTTTTTTTCCTTTTCTCTTCCTCCAACCGGCCTCGGCTCGACAAGGCAACGGCGACTTGGTGCGCGAGACCCCGCGCTCGGTGCAGCTGCGACCGCACTGCCTGGCGACCTTAGTCTGCTTGGTGCTGCTCATGCTAGGCCCGGGGTGGCGGGTTTCGGTCGGGTTTCGGGCAAAGCGATGTCTCCGCACCGAATGGCGGTGGGTTGGAGAGAGAGAGAGAGAGACAGAGAGAGGGAGAGTGGCCTCTCGCTGAGGTCACGTTGAGTGGGACATTTCGGGGGTTTTCGGCGATCCCGTTCGACTCTCGACAGATGTGGGATGGATTGGGAGATGAAATCATCACTCTTGGTGCCGCGAGGAGTGCTGCTGTGGGTCGTTTGGCAACGCAATTTGATGGCAAAGGAGCCTTGGACGGAAACGCGACGGGGTGGAAAAGGCCCGTTGGGAAGACCGACAGCTGCCAGAGAAAAGAGGCTTGGGAGGATGCTGACGGGGAGGATTTCTGAAGGTCAAAGATGTTCGAACATGGACATTCCAGATGCACTCTGACTCGCTTAACATGGAAGTGGATGGCATGGCCCCTTGGAAGACTACTTTCCTTAACGACAAGGAGGTTCTCCACTTCCTGTAATTCCGGATCTTGCATATTCGTGGGCATCTCTTTCTTTCCTTTCTTTCTTTCTTTCTTCCTTCCTTCCTTTCTTTCTTTCTTCCTTCCGTCCTTCCTTCCTTCCTTCCTTCCTTCCTTTCATCTCCTTTCTTCTCCTTTCTTTTTGGAAGTGGCCTCTGCTCCTGTACGCACTCTGTATATGCCTTTTCAACATGTTGCAACGTTCTGTGATCTGTGCCAGTGAGATCACAACCCCTTCGTGGTGCTCAGGACCAATCAGACCCTTGGGATTGCGAGATCAGCACGGGAATTGCGCAGCAGAGGCGCGTGGTTCAGCCGCCAAACGTACCTTAACGTCCTTGCATCTCTCTGAAGAAATGGGAGACTGCGGAAGTCGGTCCAACTCGCAGGTTTCCAGTCTGGAAGCAAACATGGAGCCTGGAGAAGCAACGCTTCTGCTGCGAGAGATATGGCCGCACCTGCGAAGAAGAACGTCGTCTGAGCGAGGAGGATCAGGTGGCGGTGGCTCAGGTGGCCGACGACGTCGTCTATGAGTGCCAAGTCTCAGTGGCCAACTGGGAGGCATGGCCAGAGGCCAAGAAGGAGTGGTGCTGCCGTCGGGAAGATCTGGGATGCGGCTTTCAGTGTTCCGAAAGCCCAGATGCTGCTGGACGGGAGTCAGATCAACCCGAGCGGGTGGGGCAGGGAACGAGCGGAAACGAAAAAAGCAACACTCATGATGAACACATCACTTACACTTGGATGCCATGGCCCCTTGAAAAACGACCATTTTTTCTTAGAAGCTGCTTCTGTGCCGTTCCTTGGAACTCAGGCTTGGTCACCGGCAAAGACACGGTGGTGTTGCATGCAGCAGGGCAAAGGGTGTGAGAATCCGCCCACACAGGCAGCTGGAACTGCAGTTGATAGGGCAGAATTTGGGCCGTGGCGTTTTTTTTCGGGATGGCGTCAGACTGCCAATGAGCCATTTCGCTCTGATGAGCCCACCTTTCTGCCCCCCCCCCCCCCGATCCCTGATGCTTCTCGGGCGCGAGACTCTGTGAGCTGTCCAGCAATTGTGTGTGACCGGTGGGTGGTGACCCTTGGATGTCCGAATCGCCATTTTCTCCTTCCCGGTTCCACCGGTCGGACTCCCCCGGCTACACCCGCTCCTTCCCGGTGAAGGGCGCCCCTCCCGAAGACGCCCAGGCGACATCGGCCGGTGTGGTGGTTTGAGGAATGGGACGGAGGGAGATTCGCTTCCCAAGGCGGGGGGGAATCGATAGGGAATCGCCTTTGGGGCGAAATGCCACGAAACAACAAGAAGATGTACACAGATTTTAGATGCTTTTAGTATGTATGTGCTGCTCTCGTGCCCAAGCTTTAGAGCTTGTTTGTTTCTTCTTTTTTTTTCTCCAGTGGCACGGTGTATTCCGATCGACACCGTCATTCCACATCCGACCACACCGAGCTGCGTTCCACTCGTTTCCATCGTCAGAGTCTGTCTCCAGGGCCACGGCGGCCACCGCCACGGGCCTCTTCTGCTGTGATGGGCTGAGAAGCCGATCCGTCCTCACTTAGACGCTGTCTCCCCAAGGGACATGCAGCAAGAGTCTGTTCCTTGGAAAAGGCTTCCTTGAATTCGTTGCACGGATTCACGGCACCACAAGCGAAAACCAAAAAGCGGAGTGGTGGGTGAGCGGTGCTTATCTGCTCAGACACTGGTTTGTTTGTCGTTGATGCAGCTGATGCAGTTACCTGCGATGAAAGAAGTGTGCAGCCCTGCCAGCTTCGGCTCGAAGTTTGGACCACAGTTCGTTCCCATGGCAGAGGACGAGTGTACATCAATATGCTTGGAAGGTGCAGGTGCCTTCCCCCCTTTTCTTCTTCTCCGGATGAAAACGCACCCGACCGTGTCGTGGAGCGCCGCCCGCGAACGCGAACGCTCTTGATTCGTTGATCCCTCTGAGGTGCGAAGGGTGCGGGCTCTACGGGGGCAGTTCATCTACGTGGGTGAGAGCCGAGGCTCGTGGACGCAGAATTCCTCCATGCAATACTTGGGCGCAGGACCCGCTGCGGAACAGCCTGGCCGCCATCGCTACTAGGTTGGAGGCCATAGCTAGCAAGTTGGAGGCCATTGTAACTAGAAACACAGGAAAAAACCACAGGAAGAAAGGTCTAATATAGTTTGCTAGTAGGTGATCAGGTAATCCTAGCTTGGGCTGGGCCAAGCCGAGTGGCGAGCGATCTTGAAAGACCACTTGACCAAGCTTCACCCTGAATGAAGCGAATACACTGCCAGGGATGTCCGAATGGCCTAATGTAGGCTCTTCATTTATTGAACCCGCCCCATAGATTGCAACACCTCTTGATAAGGGGACTTTAGTCATCAAGAGTCTTCAAGAGTCTACATTACCCTGGGTTTTTGAGGGTTTTTGGGCTTTCGAATATCAGAGCATATTCTTCTGCCTGGATCGGTGCAGGACAAGGAGCCTATGAGCGTGAGGTAGTGAAGACCTATGGCAGCTATCGTTGCCGCCCTTGGTGCATGGTCATGCCATGTCTCCTGCTCATTTTGCCCATTGGCCACTGGTCAACAAATCGAACCAAGAGTCGACTCCCAAACATCCAAAACCTGTCACGCAGCACTGCCGAGGCATGCTCTTCTGGCACTTCTGGCCCCGCGCGCAGCACAACCCGCCAGATTGCATCACCGACTTCCATGACTGGCTGCGCCTCTGGACCGAGGAACGAAAGGCCTATTGTTGCAAAACTGCCGGCCGTGCATGTGGCGCGCAGCAGGGCGTCTACCGGACGCCTCCAGTCGTGTACAGGCATGTCCAGGCCCACTATGACTGCCATGCCGGATACTCGAACTGGTACTTTGGATGG